TGTCTCTGTCTGTGTCTGTCTGTGTCTCTGTCTGTGTGTCTGTGTCTCTGTCTCTGTTTGTTTGTATCTCTGTCTGTCTGTCTGTCTCTGTCTGTCTGTCTGTCTGTGTGTCTCTGTCTCTGTCTGTGTGTCTCTGTCTGTCTCTCTCTGTCTCTGTCTGTTTGTGTCCTGCAGTGTCGCAGCCGAAGCGTAACTTCAACACGATGCGTTCTCCTAAAGATCTGACCTCTGAGAGCTCCATATCCAGGTAAGTGTCCAGACTGAGGGACAGGACGACTGTTAAAGACGCTGTGTCGAGACGACAACAATAGATTTAACGTGTTACCAGGGGAATCAACTCTGACTTCATGCTTTACTAACATCTCTATACTCTTCTTCTTCTTCTCTTCTTTTTCCTTGTCCTCCTCAACCCCTCTTCCTCTCTCTTCTTTGCGTCGCTCCTCCTCTTTCCTTTGCTCCTCCTCCTCTCCCTCTCTCCTCTTCCTCCCTCCTCTTCCTCCCTCCTCTTCCTCCCTCCTCTTCCTCCTCCTGCAGGTTGCTGTTCTGCTGTTGGTTTCCGTGGATGCTGCGTGCTGAGATGCAGTCCTAACCACGCCCCTCTCCCTCCGCTGTCTCCTCTCTCCATCTTTATGTCTCGCCGTCCTCTCGGAGTCTCCTCGCAGTCGTCAGTCACGCTCACACTGAAACCCCCCCCCCCTTCTCTCTGACTCTCAGCCCTTCTAATTTAGCCGTTCTATAGCAACATCTATAGTGCCTTGTATCTTATCAAACGTTCCTGTAACCAAACTGAAACCGCTCTGCTAAGCAATCCCCCCCGAAATCAATCTTTTATCCTTTTTCACGTCGTCGTCCAGTTTGGTATTTTCTGCATGCTCCTAAATTCAGGGCAGAAAACTGCTGTTAGCTCAACATCAGTTTCTGCTGCTAAATGTTTCATTTTTGCCAAATTTTGAATCGAGTGCCAGATGAATTTATCACAAACTTGGAAATCAAAACTTGGAAATAACGACAATAATAATAACGCTGACACTTGGACTCAAATATTGCAGTTTGCGTATTTGTCGGGTCCTGAAGAGCTGATACACAACTTAGACTCGGAGGCCTGCAGAACTTGGCACTGCAACGCACATTAAATGAAATCATTTCAAAGTTTCCATACACACCGATACCTGAGCTTGATTCTGCTTAGCTCCAAATGTTTGGATACTGTTCAGTGTTGAGTGGTTTTTTGATTTGGTTTCTGTTTCGTTGCCACTCGTCTGAGAACAAGGCTTCGTCCACACGAGTACATTAAGTTTAAAAAGCTCTGCGACACATTTGTCTGACGTCCACGCGGCTCCGGAGTCTTAGAGATGCTAAAACTGATCATTGTGTAAACGCTGCTGCACCCGTGTTACTGACCCTGTTGTCTTTGTTAACAGCTGCTGTTCTGTGTTTGACTATGATACTATTTACATGCCGTACATGGCACACGCATGCCCGTGCACGTCAGTGGTCATGTGATATGCGTTCTGAGGCGTGTTAGTATGGACGGAGATTAAAACGAATGCTGAGACGAAACACTCTGGGCACAGAGATTGTTTTATTGCTGTTTGGACTAATTGGCAGATTGTTGCTCTGTAAGAAGTTCGCTCTGTTTGGCAATGATTTAACGAGAATGAGGGCGCCGCCTCTAGCTCTAACGCCTCCACCAGATGGTTTCTCCTCTCAGAGAACCATAGTTACACATGGAACCACAAAGTGTGAGAAGTGAAATCATCCTCGTGCTTTAAACGCAGACGTCAAAGTGAAAACAGGGTTTATCAGCGACTGACTTAATATTTATCGGTCGGTCTTATTTTTTTATCTTTCACATGTAACAGTCCTAATTTCAGATGTGGTTTCTCGAGCTCTATGAAATATCTCATACATGAGTGAAGCGGATGACGTCATTGTACCATAGATTTGATGTGACGTCACATGTTTAATACAAAGTGCAGCTTTAAGTTGTGGTCGTTGCACTTTACAGATTTCAACACAGAGGAAACCGCTGAGCTCAGACTCACTTTTAGACTTTGATAGATGAAATAGATGACACTTTAATCATATAGTGAAAATATTAGTCCATCGAGTCAGAGTGAAAATATAGTGTATGATAGAAATCGTACAAAGATCTGCGATTATAATCTGTCATTAACCAAAACTGCTAACAGACCCAAAACGTTTCCAGCTCTGTGAAGTGAAATATCAACGTTTGTTTTGTCGTCGTTTGCATCTGAAAACAAATTTATTTTTAAACTTAAAATGTTTTACAACAACTTTTAATGGCGTTGGAGTTAAATCTTTGTGGACGATAATCATCCGTACGTCTCCGTCCCCTCGTCAAACGCTCTTCTTCTTGACCTCCATGTTTTTAATTTCCTACCACAGAAATTTGAATCTCTCAAAGGTTTTTCTCTCTTTCCCTCCTCTCCTCTCATCCCTCTCTCTCCATTCAAATCAGACTTCTGTACTTGTTGTGAACGTGAGCATCCGCGACGAGACGAAACACAAACACAAGTTAACCTGAACCTACGTGTGCTTCATGTTAAACTCTCTCTCTGTAAACAGCAATATGTAATAATATGTACCTGGTTCCTGTGTTGTCTCTTTACACTCTGCAAGCACACGAACACAGAGCGACGCTCACGCTCTGACGGCCGAGGTTGTCGAGAGCAAGACGCAAAAAAAATATTCAGTCGCTTTGAGGCGGAAGAAATAAGCAGAAACCAAAACGAACGACGTGTGGAGGCGTGTTAGCGCCGCAGCGACCGGTCGATTCAAAGACTCAACAGCCGTCAGGATTATTTTCTATTGGAAATAAGGAGCGAACAAACATAACAGATGGAAATATATTTGTTCAACTGTTGGATTAGATTCGCTGCAGCTTTTTCAAACAACATTCTCAAAACTTGTCCTGTTGACTTTTCGAGTGTGAAGTCGCTCAGACTGAATAACGTTTCTCAGTTGGTGTCTGTGCTCCGCCGTCTTGTCCGGAGGAAACACTGGCTCCTGCAACTGTTCTGTTTGTGCCTCAAAATTCTACCAACGATAACGACTTAGTTTAGACCAGCTGCAGTATTTAGCTCAGCTCTGAAAGTCGTCCGGCTGCAGCTTTCTTTAATTCAGGTGTATAAATGTCCTTAAGACGTCCGGACAACTACAATCTGTCCTGGAGACAAATTTTAATCCAGTTGCTAAAACTAAACAATTTACCAAAATGCATTATTGTGTGATGTCCCAACAAATTCTATCTCTCATGAGAAAAGAGGTGAAGCTGCCGACATGTGGGGATTTCCTCCTCTTTACTCCAGAGCAGAACTTATTGATTTCACATTCAGATATTTCTAATGCTTCTACTCAAAACCCTGCGCTAGCACTCAAATAGTTCCTGCTTGTGCTCAAGCCGTGTGCTTCTGTGCACATGTTAAACGTCTGCTCTCGGATTTTCTCTCTGCGCTCGGACTCTTCTGTGCAGTAAACCTGAGCTGGAGCGCAGAGAATCGGAGTGCAAGTGCACAGTTTGAGCATAAGAGACACAGGTGATTTTAGCATTTGACGTTGAAAGCTCGGTGTGATTTTAGAACCTAAAGTTAACAAGCCAATAAATCAGTCAGAAGTGAATCAGGTCCTGGAAGTTCTGTTTTTAAAAGATGAGAGAATCCTCCCATCAACACAATATTCAGATGACGGGGAGATGTTCCTTCCTGTGTTCGAGCTACTTTCATCTGCCATCCCACCCTGAGCCAGGTGAACTGAAGTGAACCCACGTGTTGTGGTTTACGTCTGTGAATAATTATCACTGCAGCTCGTTGTTCGATGCCGAAGCTCCACAGAGCGAGGGTCTGCTGACTCCGTCGTGCTGAGCGTTAGTGGGCCACAGTGCTGGTTTGTCTTTGTACAGTAAACGTACAGTACAGTCATTCTTACTGTGTAAATATGGAGCTTTCTCTGGTTTGGCCACTAAGTGTCACTAGTGAGTCACTGATTATTCAACTTACTACAGATGAAATATTACGTAAACGTTCCTTATGTTTTCTCTTCATTTGTTTCTTTTCAACGGACGATCGTGGTTTTGCCTGTTTTAGCTCTTTGCTAGCTCTTTTCATTGTGTCCAGGAAACCGTCACTTCCTGTCTGTGTGTAAGAAGATCAGCGAGAATCGGTCGTTGTTATTTAGTCGGCGTTCTTGAGAAGGATGTGAGACTGAAGCCGTGTTGTTTGTCTGAAACGAAGCAAACACGTGAAGTCATTCTTATTTGTAGCCAACGAGCTAAAACCTTCAGAACCAGTGGTCGTTTGAATCCTCTATAATCAATGGGTGTACGTGTGTGAGAATAAAACGTTAAACTCCTTCTCATAGTAACTAACTCAGTAACTGGTTGTTTTATCATCTTATCAATAAACAGTATATAGCCTATTTTTTGATAACTTCACTAAGTGTACTTTCTGTTCTCCGGTTTTGTTTGTGTGTGTGTGTGTGTGTGTGTGAGAGAGTGTGTGTGTGTGAGTCACTCCTGTTTTAAAAGTATGTGGAGCTGACGGACGTTAAAGAAACAGGAGAGAACGAGCATCGGACGTCCTCATCCTAACACCACTCACTGCATGCTCTCTCTCCCCCTCTCTCTCTCTCTGTCAGTATTTTCTGGGTTTTTCGACGTGAATCTTCTCATCGGCATGAAAATGCTTCTAATAACAACAGTGACAACTGTATGAATATAATAAAGAATTTGATGTTGGTTTTCTACCTCGGCTGTCCGGTGCCTTTACTCACAGAAAACATCTCACGGCTTTTTTAATGGGTTTAAATAAGAAATGTATTTGGATTTATTATTTCACGTTTATGATCATGGTCGTCCATATTTAGTTTACAGTTTTTCTACTTTGAAATAAATTGTGGACGAGGATTCCAACATAATCTGTTAGAAAAGTTCACTGTTAGAAAAAGTTTGTCTGATATTGTGAATTAATACAAACAGGCACCAAACTAAATTCAAAATAAAAGCACCTCAGAATGATATTCAGTAGATAAACACACGATCACTGTCATCAAGCTTTAGAATCTTTAATACTGACACCTAGTGGTCAAATCTTAGATCACACACAGTGATTCCACATGAAGTTCATAATACATCTAATAAAGTGAATAAATAAGAATTAGAAACAGACTCAGCACTGAATCAATGTCGTTAACTCTAAATTACAACCAACAACTCAAGTTCATCAACGGAGCTCGTGTCCAAAACACACGATATCTTTAAAACACTGATTTCAATAAATTACATTAAAATACAAAATAAGTTCAAACTAGAAAACTATTAATCGCTCTCGTCGGCAAATGTCCGCAGGGTTTTAGGTCTAGGGTGTCTGATTTTCCAAGCAGCGCCTGAATGCATCATCACAATAAAGATGTGTTTACTGACCATCAGTTCAGTCAGAGCAGCTTGGTCTCAACCACTTTATGGTTTTAATAATCCAGAAACTTCTCCTGCTGGAGCCTCTGAATGAGCAGGAGGCGGTCAGCTGACCTGTGACCTCTGGGGACATGAGGACAGCGCCCCCTGCAGGGGGTTGGTGCAGGTGGAGCTTGACCTCTGGGTTCAGTGGTAGGAGGTGAAGAGCTTCCTCTCGGCCTTGGTGCAGGGTTAAGGGGATCTGACCTTTGACCCGCTGCGCTGCCTCTTCCTTCGAGCCCTTCGGTTCTTGAACCAAACCTGGAAACAGGAGAGAAGAGTTTCAGTTTCTCTAAAGTTCAACATGAAGCAGCAAAACAAACCATGTTTCATGAAATCACATCTGACGCCCACATGACTTTTCTTTTTCCCTTTAGTTAATAAATGTTCTCAGTTGAACGAACAGATCTGATGTTGTGAAACCACTTTTAAATTTGGATTTGGATCAGTTCTCAGTGCTTCATCTTTAAAATCCACGTTCGAGTCATAAGTTAGAAAAATGATTTAAAAGTAAAAGAATCAGCTTTGACCAGAAACAGAAAGTTTTGCTGCGTCTTGATTTGGAGGTTTTTAAGGTTGAATTTTACAGATAATGAGTTTTTAAAAAGTTTCAACAGTTTGAGTTTTCTTTAAAAAACCTCCATGTGTGAAATGAAGCCTGGGCCCTTTGCACGCGGCCTTCACGCTCCTCCACATGAACGAGTGACACTCACCCGGATCGTCTCCTCGCTCAGCCCCGTGCTCCTCGCCACCTCGGCCCGCGCCTCCACCGCAGGGTAGTCGGTGATCTCGAACAGCGCCTCCAGGTGTTTGGTCTGAGTATCGGTGAACACCGTCCTCATCCGGGCCTTCTGGCGCGGCGGCGGCTGCGGCGGCTGCGGCTGCGCGGGCACGCTGGAGTGAGGGTGCCCGTGGTAACCAGGCAACGGCTGAGCATCCACTGTAATAAAAGATGAGAAGAAGAATTAAGAATTATTTCAAGAGACCGAGCGAAGTAAGTTCAGGTCCAGTTCTGAAGTTTGATCACAGACTGAGAACAAGCTTCTCACCTCCGGACTCTCTGCTGCTGAAGTGAACCAACACTCCGGACTCTGGATAGAATCTGCTGAATCCGGCTCCGTAATAAAACGTTTCCCCGAAGCTCATCCCCCCGAACTGCAGGCAGCCTGGGGCCGGGACCGGGACCGGGACCGGGGCGGGAGGCCGCAGGTTCCCGGAGCCCGGACAGAATCCACCGGCCGCGATGCCCTGGAGGTACCGGTCAGGAGAGAAGTCCTTGACCGGAGGTTTGTGTCCGAGCTGCGGGGACAGGATGCGCTCGATGCTGAAGTCGGACACTGTGCTTCCCTCCATGGTTCCAGGTGAGCTGAGTGTTGGGGCCCTCGGGGGCCCACCTATAAAGTGTGATGCTCCATCACACACCTGACGGCTCGTTCATATGCAAACGAGCCGCAGCTTCACAGGCTTTGATTTGACCTCTGACCTCTTTGAACTTCCACAAGTTCACAACAGACAAAAGTTCAAGTCAAACTTCAAACATCCTGTTTGACCCGTTTTTAATGAAAGGTTCAATTAAAAGATAAATTCAGAATCTTCTTTCCACAGTCATCCAGCTCTTTGTTGTCTTCACAGATTGTGTAGTGATAGATTACATGGAGTCAGGTTTATACAGTCACATTAGAAAAGATAAGTCACTTTAGTCCTGCAGCTGAAAAACGGTTTAATAGATATAAATCAAATTGTAATGGATTACTTTACATTAAATGATTACTCTTTGAGTACTCTCCTGAAATATCACTGTTCTAAAACAATGATCAACAATACTTTTTAATCATTTCAAGTTTGTGTTTCGTTTGTGGAACATCACACAAGATGTTTGATTTT